CACTGGTTGAGCATGGTGCTGACAACACCAAGCCAAGGGTTAAGATCCCCTTACCGGTCATTTTTTAAATAAAAAAAATAAAAAATAAAAAACAGCTGCAGGGTATGCTGTGGGGACAGAGGCTGCAGAAACTGAGGAACCAGAGAGAAGTTTCTCACCACCTTCCTGCCCCACTGCCTACGAGTCCAAACACCAAATCTGAACAGGGACTTAGTAGCTCCAACTGAGAACTAAGGCGGTCCTCTGGGGCCCAAAGGACACAGGTGGCAAAGCAGTTTCAAATGTCTGCCAAGTCTTTGACACTCCCCGCTTCCCACCAAAAGGTAGGATGTAATTCTCCTTCCTCTGAATGTGGGCTGGCCTTAGGAATTCACTTATAAAGAACAGTATGCAGCAGAGTCTAGGGCCATATCACCCTGAACGTGCCTTATCTTGACTGATCTTGAAAGTTGAAGCAGGGTTGGGCCTGGTTAGTACTAGGATGGGAGAATGCATCAGAAATGACAGTAAGTTACTTCAGAGGCTGGGTTAGAAAAAGCAATACAGCTTCCGCCTGGCATTCTCTGCAGACATTCACCCTTGGAACACAGCCATCATGTGCTAAAGAAGCCCAAACCACGTGGAGAGGCCACAAAGGTGTTCTAATCAAAGGCCTCTGCTGAGATCTCAGGTGACAGCCAGCACTAACCACCAGACTCATGCATGTGAATGCAGAAGCCTTGGAGATGGCCCCACCCAGCTCCATCTAACTGCACCCATGAGACACTCAAGGGACAGTGGCCTGAGCCCACAACTCCCAGACCATGCAGGGTGACGATGATGATGATAATGATAGTAATAAATGGATGTCATTTTATGCCACTAACTCTGGGGGGTCTGTTAGGTGGCAGTGGAACAGTGGGATGAAGGTACATTTTCAGCAGCTATAGGACAAGATCCAAAGGCCCAGCCAGTTCAAGGGGGGCAATTGTGTTGGATGTGAGAAAACTGGCACAGGACTGGACCTGGGCTAACACTGGAGGGAGCAGGCCTGCTCAACCTTGGAAGAGGCCTGCTGGGACTTCTCCTTGGGCATAACCCTGCTGCAGGGCAGAGCAGCCTCAGGGATCTCAGGGCTGCAGTGGGACAGCAGACTGGCGACCCTCAGGCATTCCAGGTTGACCCCCTGAGGCCACATCTGTACTGTCCCCTCTGAGCTGCAGGAGGGGCGACACAGCTGGCAGATCTAGCCTCACATTTAGAACTGCTGGGCTAGGGACATGCGAGGCTACAAAGGGTAAAAACACACAAGCATTTGAAGTCTTCTCAGCTGAAGCTACCAAAGCTACCCTCGTGGCAAATCTAAAGCACCACTCATTTGTCAACTCCCAGGTAAGCAAACAGTTAAATAATTTACTCATGCTTCCTTTCCTTACAAAACTTTAATTCTCTAAAAAGAAATATGGAAAAACAATGGTTGGAAGTTTGAAAATCCTCTCTGACATTACTCTCCTTTATAAAGGGACATATGATATTCCATGGAACAAAAATTTCATGTAG